ATTTCTGCTTGTAGTCACGATAGTATAGCTACAAATCCTAATACATAATGGTATCTGAATATTGAAAATTATTATATTAATCATAGACATTATAAATTTTTCAACAAAAAATTATACTGATGTTTTTATCTTTTTTCCTTTTAATGAGAAAGTCAAAACTATGAAACAATTGCAAAGCTGGTTAAAAGACAGTACAATTAATACATTGCATAATTTCCTCTTTATAGTAGTTGTTACGGGTTAGATTCAGATGTGATATACAATCTAAAGATTCAGATGTGATATACTGTCTAAAGAACATAAGTACAAAATTTCCTTTCCATTGAATTAAGAGAGGTTAACTCTACATTTGTGCTAAATATTGTGTATATACACACAGAAACACATACACACAGATACACAACAAACTTACACACACAAACACACACATATACATATACATATATACATATATATATATACATATATAAATGTATATATGTAAATTTGATCTTTTTGGCTGAGTCACTTTCAACTGCATAAGTATTTAACATATTTAATTCATTCCTTTGCGGATTGGTGCCTTAGTTGTTTCCTAAGTTTCACTATCGCAAATTGTACTGGTATAAACATAGGTACCCATATATAAATGATATAAATTTTTTCAGATCTTTGCAGAAACTCTGCAGTAGGGGGATGTGTATTTAAATGGGATTTCCTGTACTATAAATATTTTTTCCAGATAGTTCACACAAATTTATTAAAAATTTGCATCTTTAACCTTCTCTTCAGTGAACATCCATTGGAAGGCCTGCAACAGAAGATATTGGTTTTAACCCTATTTCCAGAGTTAAATTAAAAAAAATATTTGAGAATATAGAATATCAGATCTTTCTCATCATCAATAATCAGTGAAAGAGTTCAAGTTGAGGTGAGATCATCATGTATTTCTATGCTAGAATTTTAAAATCCCATTCTAATTTCCAACATTTTTAAACCAGTATACATTTCCACCCACAGAGAAGAAAGGTTAATTTTACAGCACAGTGTTACCAACATTTTTTGTTGATTGAATACTTCATGACAGACATTCCTTCTGGTGTGTGATATCATCTCAGTGCTGTTTTAATTTTTATTTCACAGATAGCTATTCATATGTTGCAGGTCCCCTGAGAAGTGTGCATTCATCTAGGATGCATTTCTCTGGTTTTGATTATTTTTTGGGCGGGCCCTAACTTTTTAAATTCTTCATACATTCTAGAAAGCTGATCATCACTGACTACATGTTTTTTAAGATATTTTACAAATTTGTGAGTTGTCTTTCCACTTGTTTGCTAATTTATTATTATTTTTTGTTTTTTCCTTACAGGGATTCTCAATAGGAGGAGATCCCAGTTGTTAACTCTTTCCAGGATTAAGAATTAAAATTGATTTTTGCTTAAAAACATTATTCTCAAATTTATGTCTTAAATAGTTTCTACTTATTTTCTTATCTAGGATGAGTGGTGTATCTCTTTTAATGATTAAATCTTTAATAAATTCAACTTTAACTTAATGCACGGTGTCACTCTTGGGTCAAGCTTTAGTTTTGGTATGTACAAAGCCAGGTTTCCAACACCATTTCTAAAAGGGCTATTTTATTCCATTGATCACGTTTAGCATTTGTACAAATTAGGTTGATGAGTGCTTTCGTAGAGTCTTCATCATCTACTCTATTCCTTTCATCCTCTGGTCTATATCCTCATCAGTATCATACTGATTTTAACACAGTAGGCTTGTAGTATAATTTCTCTTCAGGAATTTTAATGTCTCCTGACTTGTCTTCGTTACTCATGATTACCTTTGTTATTTTAGATCTTTTCTGATTCAAAATAAAGATTAGGAACAAATTTCATAGCTCAGTCAAGTATGTTGGAGGTATAGTGATAGAAATTGCATTACTTCAGTACAGACATTTTGGGAGCATGGTCGTCTTCACTATATTTGTTATTCCTAACCTGGATACTAAGTGACTTTCCATTTCTGAAGTCTTCTGAGATCCCTTTTTTCACATTAACATAATTTAATTTGAAAGGATCTTAGACTATCTTAATTACATTAATTCCAAGTTATTTTCCTCTATGCTTTTGTAAAAGATACTGTTCCTCTAATTTCCGTCAGTGTGTTTATATCTATGTATAGCAATGCTAATGCCCTTTGGGTAGTGACTTTGTATCTTGCTATGCTACTGAATTTGTGTATTAATGGTACGATATTTTGGTTGGTTTTTGAGGGGTTCTTTCCAGCAATATGTCATGTCATTCGCAAACATTGAAAAATGAACTTCCTTTGTACCCAATCTTATTACTTTTATTTTTCTCGTGTCTAATGGCTCTAGGCAATGATTCCAGAACTATATTGAACAAGACCGTTGATAGAGATTTTGCTTGTCTTTTACTAAATATAGAAACAAAGATTTCTGTTTCTTTCCATTTAGAATTAAGTTCCAGCTAGTGTTGTCATAGACGGCGTTCTTGAGATTGTAGTAGATGCCATCTATTCCAATTTAGTGTAGTCCTTTCAACATGAATGAATATTGAACTTTGTCTGAAGCCTAATCTGCATCAATTAATGAAACTTGTGTTTTAGATTTTGCTCTATTGATATAGTATATTTATAGATTTGTGAATATTGAGCAATTCTTGCATCCATTTCATTCATCTTACCTCGTCATTATTATTGAATTTTTTGATTCCTTGTTGTGTTCTATTTACTTGGATTTCACAGAAGAGATTTGTATTAATGGTCAAGAGGGACATGGGCTTATAGTTTGCTTTTTAAATTTTGTCTTTACCCATTTCGGTATCACTATAATACTTGCTTCCAAGAATGCACTTTTGCGGATTCCTTCCTTTTCAATTTCGTTGAAGATTTTGAGGTGTTGAATATATCTTCCATAAATTTCTTGTACATATAGACTGTGATTACTTCAGCAGCTGGACTTTTCTGGTTGGTAGGTTTTATTGCATTTCATATCTCCTTAGCCTTTAATGGGTTATTGAGTGTTGCTATAGTTTCTGGATTTAGTTTTTATATTTGTGTCTTTCTAGGAATCTGTTCATTTTGTCTGTGTCTTACTTTTTGTGAGAATAAAGTTTCACAAACTAGCTATGGATAAACTGCTAAATTTCCACTGAATCTGTAGTTATTATTAACTATTTATTCATTCTTTCTTGTATATCAGTTTTTCCTTTCCTATTGCTGTAGAGGTCATCTAGGTGCTTATCAATTTTATTTAGTGTTTCAAAGAAACAGCTTTTTGAATAGTTAATTCTTTCAACTCTTGTCTTCATCTCCGTTGAATTAACATGTGCTTTAATGTTTCTGAGATTACTTTCCATCCTTAGATTTTGGATTTACTGTGCTTTGCTTTAGTAGATTTTGGAGTTGCAGCCTTAGGATGTTAATTTTCCCTATTGTATTTAACTAATCTGTGTATTGACAGCTAAATATTTCTCTTTGATAAGGGCTACCTCGTGGTTCATGAATTCTGATAATTTGTCCTTCAATTTTCATTGAATTGCTGATATTGTTCAGTTTCTTGTTTAAACTATTCAGTGACACATTGATTAATGATTAAGGTTTTGAGTAATTTCCATTATTTTGGGGGGATTATTGGTTATTTCATCGTTTATTTACAGTTTCAGTAAACTGCGGTCTGAGAATATGCATGGGATAATTTCCTTTTTTTCTGTATAATTAAGCATTACCTACAGAATAGTATGTGGTCTTATATCAAAATGACATATGTGAAGTTGAAAAAAATATTCAACTGTGTTTTTGAGAAACACACTGTAAATATCTTCTATGTCCATTTGTTCCAAGTCCTTGCTCATTTCTGCTTATTCTTTGCTAACTTTTTGTCTGATTGACATATATTTTTGTGGGTAGGGTGTGTGAAGTTCTCCTGTTAAGATTGTGGTACTGCATATTACATTATTCATGTTCCTTAAGATTTCTATTATATAATTTGGTGCTCCCTCTTTTGCTGTTTCCATATATGTGACTATTACCACTTCCCTTTTAATCTTTCCCCATACTAGTGTATAGAGGACTTCTTTTTTATTTGATAACTTTAAATTTGAAGTTGATATTGGCAGGGAACAGTATTGCTATCGCTCCTATTTTCAGAGATATTGGGGAAGGTAGACATTTTTCATGCCTTGGGGTTCGCCCTACGTATTTCTTTATGAGTTAAGTATGTTTCTTCTATGCAGTATATTGTTGCATTATGGTTCCTAATCCACTGTACCAGGTTACTTCTTTTAATTGGTGAATTCAGTCCATTTACAGTATTAGTAGTAATTGAGATGTATTGACTTACATTTGACATGTTACTGACTTGCTATTGTTTTCTGCCCTTTTTGTTTGTCCTAGTTAGTGATTTACTTCTTTTCTAATTCTGGAGTTCTGATGATTTTGGTGCCTCTCTAGAACAAAATTCAGTAGGGTGTTTAACATTAACTCTGTAATCATGAACTACTTTATTTGTATTTTGTCATGGTAGTGTTTCATATCTCCATCAATGTTTAAAGATTGTTTTGCAGGGTATAGAAATCTAGGCTAATATTTGTTTTCATCGAGGACTTGAAATACGCTGATCTAGGTATTTCTACCCCTACTAATGAAGGAAGAGAAGGCTGCTGTAATTTGATTAAAGTTTCCAGCGAATATGATCTTTTTTTATTTTCTTTTTCTTTTTTTTTATAGCGGCCGTTAGTATATACTTCTGGTGATGCCTTTCTCGGATCTTGATTATTTAAGATCTCTATGTTTTTAATTGGGTTGAAGTTATTGGACGTTTTCTTTTCTCCTGATATGTATATGGCACTTTGATTCCTCGCATTTGGGAAATTCTCTTCTCTTCCTTCTGTCCATCAATTTCTGTATCACTTGTATTGTCTCTTACTTCCTTATTGATGGGTCTCATGTTGTTAATCATTTTATTGTCTTGAGAGGTTGAATTACTTTTTCCTAATTCCTCTTTTTTCTAAGACATCTTATCTTACGTTTTCACTGGCTGCAATGCCATGTTCAATATCTGAAACTATCTTCACTTACACAAAAACGATTTTGCAAGCTTGTGATTGAAATTTTAAATTCCTCCATATTTCTTTTTCTGTGCTTCATGCTTTCTAGTTCTTGCCTGTATTGTTCAGTCTAAGAATCAATCATTCTTGTGATGTTTTCCACTTTTTGCTATTTGCCTCTTGAAAAACTGTTATTAATTCTTCACTATAGTGATTATTTCTTCTCTGATTTCCTCTATAGTTTTCTGTGCTTAATTCTTTAGTTGAAATGGTATTAATTCAGTGATTACTTTTTTAAGAGGCTATTTCTTTTCTGAGTCACTCTATACCTTTCTGCAGCTGTGTCTTTACTTGTGACCCTGCTGATTTAGACGTTTTATCTCTACAATGCACAGTTTCTTCTCTCCTGGTGTCCTCTCCACTTCTGGGTGCGCTTAGGCCTGGAGATAACATTTTACTCCTTTGTTTTTTTTTTTTTTTTCATTTTGTAGAGCACTGATCTCTCATTTTTGCAGTAGCGCTTTTTTGCAATTATGCCCTTAGCACTGAGTGAAATTCAGGTGCAGATTTGTTAACAATGAGTTCATCAAGTTGTACCTGGATCGTTTCTAGTAGTTGTGCCCAGTTTCAACTTGCTAAAGCCCTTGCAGTTTTGTGTTTTATGCCCATCCTGTACAACAGTGAGAAAGTTAGCCTTGAGCTCAGAGGTATATGGGAGCGCAAAATCTCTCCCAAACACTCGTCAAACCGGAACTTTTGCTGTAAGTGGGATTCCAAAAACATGCTAGAGTTTCTCAGTCAAATTGCATTCCTGAGTTTAACTCACAGAAGATTCTTTAGTGCAAACTATTCGGATGTTGAACACACATTCACAGAGCCTTGGC